TGTTGACAGTTTTAGATAAAATTCACAATAGTTTCCCATAGAATAGGATCAGATCTGTAGGGAGGAGAACCATCGGGAGGAGCAGGCTAGACGCATGCTAATATTTTAGGTATTGGTGCTACACTCCGCCTCTTTGTGAGAAATTATATAGCTTAAACGTATGTTCATTCGTTATGTTTGACACTCTGGATTGGCGTATTATATAAAGCCTGGTACCCTTAAAATATCTACACTGTCGCTACAGTGGTTCAGTGCAATCGTTGTACTGCGTAGGCCCATCAGTCCCTGGAGCAATCGGGAAAGTTTCCGGTTTCCAGCGACCAATCAGCATCACCAAGAACCGTCGCCGATCGCGTGTAGCGATTATATGGAAACAAAGCTTAACATAGTGTGGAGGATAAATTCCCATGGCAGCAGGCAGTCGCTAGTAGCTGTTACCATTGCACATGAATATCACTAATGTTCTGAAACCTGATCATGATTCACTGCAATTAAATTTAAGTTCAGATAATATCGAGAGTAATTGAAGTCAATATTAATCATTTTTCTTCGCAATGGATCGTTACAATGTCGCTAGTCCTTTTCACTACAATTATTACATTGCGTAGTTGTCCATAAAGCAATCGGGAAGGCTGACCCAAAAACGTGAAAAATACTATGCAGTAATTAAATTAAATTTCATATTTAAAATGAGTACTGGATTAGGATTCAACTAATAATTACATTAAATTTTATTTCGAAGCTCTAAATGATGCGAAAAACAAGGAACTAAATCCTCCGTCAACAGCTCTCACCAACCTAAATGCAGTAATAAACCGAGTTCTAATACAATGGATACCGGCAAACTGCGGCATTACAGGAAATTAAAAAGCAAGTGCACAAAAAAGACAGTTCACCAATAAAGTATCTTAAAGCAAAAGCAATCATCAACTTGTCAGAAGCATGAATGAAATAACCAACATCCCGGTCACAGCCCAAGTGACAGCTACCACTACATCCGAAAGAACTGAACATGTACAGTAACAATTTTCCGACTGAGCTACAATCGTCTCCATCACCGCTTACTCCAAAAGTTTGGTATTGGTATTGAGCACACCGATATGTGTCCCTGCGGTAATGGACCAATGACTGCTGAACATATTCTTCAGAACTGCAAAAATTATGTAACTGAACGAAAACTTGGCCATTACTAACTATACTTCATCAAAAACTCTATGGTATCCGGGAAGATTTACAGAGAACAGCAGACTACATCAAAGAAATTGGCATCATCATCATCATCATCTAAAAAAGGCGAACGAGAAGAATTTCCTCGCCAACTCTAAAACATACATAGATAATAGGCCTATGTTTCCTTAGATTAGAGCCTTTAAACATTTATTAATTAATAAATTTAATGATTGAAAAGACGCTGCCAACTTGTCTTAAAATATAATATCAGTTAGTTTATTTTGATAAATATCGAAACGGTCGTTGAAACGTTAATAAAAGATGACTAGCGGCTATTCTCAGAATTTCACGATCTAAATTTGATTAATAGCGCAAATTATTCACCAGTTTATACACGCATAAGACCTAGATAATAGGCCTGTTTTTAGGCCCTTTAAACATTGGCCGTTGGCCGTTAATACATTTGTGAGGCCTCACCACAAAATTTGACGATTCAAAAAAGCGCGTTGCCAACTTCTCTTCATGTTTATTTATTTTAAATATCGAATCGATCACGTTAATTCTAATTAGGGTCTATGTACTATCCTACTCTATTCAACAAATTAATCCCACTAATATCACATGAATAGAATTCATGCGATATTTTGCTTTTAGTGGGATTCCTTTTTTTCATATAATATTCCTAATAAAAGTAAATCATCGCATGAGGTATATTGTTGGAAATGTCTAATAGCTCAGACATTAATAGAATAAATCCTACCACAACTCTTTTCAATACCACATCATAATCAATAGACAAATGGGTGTGTTGAAGAGAACAGTGCTGAAGAAACCGTACTACCATTGGAATATATAGGAAATAATATAAGAAATACATTATATACAAGAAACGTTTGATAAATACTGTGTGTTATCTGTTATGGACTTTGCCAGAGACAAAGATAGAAAACTATGAATATATCTACGAACTACACAATTAGCATGGAACTACAAGCACCCATGCTGCTGGTCATAGCTTGTTGTATAATTGGTAGTATTGGTATTATTTCCAATTCATTTGTCATATTTGTGTTCGTCTACAACAAGACTTACAAGAAGTCTGTGTCACTTAAATTACTTCTTCATCAGACTGTGATTGATTTGCTCGGCTCTCTGGTGTTTTTGATTTTCTACGTTATTCATGTTCCTGATGGCATTGCTGGAACCATATTCTGTAAAATGAACTTTTTCTTCTACTACGCATTGGAAACATCAACGTACAATTTTGTTCTGCTTACAATCGAACGATATATTGCTGTAGTCCATCCATTATTGTATCGCAAAAAATCATTGGGTGGGAAAATTACATGCATGTCACTCATTATCCCCCATGTATGTGGTGTACTTTTAACGATATATATCCTAATATATATAGACATAAATCCAATTGTGAAATCATGTGCAATTGAAATAGTGAATGCTGTAGTGGGGGGTATCTTATTCATTATTGTAAGCTTTGTGGTACCCGTTTGCATTATGCTGTGCAGTTACGTGAAGATGCTGTTGAAGTTACACAAAACAAGAATAGTTAGTAATGAACATTCTACTGAAGTTCAACGTAGTAATAGTAAAAGGACTCAAAGAATCAAGTCAGATCTATTGACTACTCTCATCTTAATTGCATTTGTTTATATTGTGACAGTAACTCTACACTTTGTTTTCATGCTGATGTATTTCATATGCGATACCGATATTAAATACATATATTTCAGGCTGGGTGTGTTGCTTCTGGGGTTAAATTTTACTATTAATCCATTTATCTACTGTATAGCATGCAAAGATTTTCAACGAGGATTTCGAAAGATCAGAGATGATGTATATCAAGGTTAGAATCCAAGAATTAAGTCAATTAAGAGAGACATTAAATGTATATACTCTCAGAGATGAGCTAATGAAAGTGGAAGATGTAATTAAATATTGGATTTTTTTTTGCATACACTTCCGTAATACTGTATCTTTAAAGGGCTTATTATCCTTCTTAAATTTGAATTCCCAGTTTCCCCGACTAAAATTTACATTCTTTTGAAATTGCTACTTCGTAAGTTATACTGCTTTAAACGTTCACATTCCTAATTGTGTTTCAAACTTTAATAAATATATTTTTGTTTCTCTTTCGTGGGAATTTCAAACACCTTTATTTCTATCTCTT